GTACTCAGCCTTAATTCTATCTCATCTACTACCAGGAGCACCATCTTAATCCCAAGCTGTCAGTGCTTCCAAGATTCACCACTTCCCACCTAATAGGAAGCCTTCTCCCAAATATGAGGTATAATGTCTTCTGGAAACATCTGCCAGCATCAGAACTAAATTGCACAGAAGAGCTTTACTGTCTTCACTCCCAATCCTCATATGACAATACCTCAAATATCCAACAATATGTGAAACATAAACAGTAGCTCTTTGCTGCTCGAGCAAATTTGCATCATTTGGCCTCTGCCTTAAAGCCAGTGCTGAAATAAATTATTTCATGCCACAAAGTAAATCACTGTGTGCTCCTTGCTCAAAGTAACATTTAATCCAATCCTGGCCCTAGACTGAGAAGGCCCATCAACCTCTCTGCCAGCTGGCTGCCTGTACATTCATTATCTCCTGCATGCCCTTGCAAGTCCCAGGAAGTCTAGACTAAGTCCCAACCTTATTTTCTTTTGCTAACCTGGATTGTTATCAAATGCCTTTATCTCACCAGCACTTTCTGCCAGTGCTAGATTGCAGCTGAGCCAACAGCGGTCTGGCTAGCTCTGGAGTTCTGTGTAATTCAGCATCCACTTTTGAGATGCATTTTATGACTTTTTGGACAATTGGTGGCCAAAGCCCTAATTTCAGCAGTAACTCTGTCCAAGTGAACCCAGTCCCCTCCATTTCTTAATCAGCTAGCAGCACACCCCAGCCACCAGCACAAAAAAAAAAAAAGAACCAGACAGTCTCTCCTGGCAGCAGCACTTAGCCAAGGCTTGTCAGTCCTAGCACTACAAAAAGACAACATCAATATAATGCAATCCTAATCTAAATACCTCTAAAAGCCTCCAGACGAACATTTGTGCAAATCAACTTTATGCATCCCTCATGCAAAGGACTTGGTCTGGGCAAACACTATGACTACCTCATCAATACTAGGGATTTAAAACCAAAATAAACATAGTCCAGCCTAGATCTAGGCCTACAACTATTTATCCTCCAAACCAAACCCAAGCCTAGATAATGCCCTTCACTAGACCCTGTTTTAAACTCCATGGTCTTTGCTGGCTCACACCTCAGCCACAGGATTAAGGCCCTAGCAGTGCAACAATCAGCCTGTGAAGCAGATCCTAACAGGCTGCCAGCCTCACTCTTCACTGGCAGCTGCTATTGGTGGTTCCTGTAAGCCTGCCACTAATACATTTCATATTTGCCACCAATGCATTTCATTTTTACAGTTACCAGGTGATGTCTGCTCTCATTAAATGGACATCTGTAGATCCTGTCTGACAGTACTGCTTCATCCTGCTCAAAGGAGAGCAGATGCATGACATGAACTGAGTACCCCAAGATTCTCTGTTTAGGGTCTGAAATGTACACTACCAACAGAGGAGGTGTTTTAGCACAGAAAAGTGAATTAACATTGCACCAGCAACAAAGCAGATTAGGGGCAGCTCTGCCATAACGGGCAGGTCCCCCTGTGTGATATTACTACTCTTATCTCTAGAGCACAGAAACAGATTTCCAAATGAAAGTTAATTTCTTAATTTCTTCGGGATTATGTCAAACAAAACACATTTTTCTTACAGGAAAGAAGCATTTCTATTCATGAGACCCAGAATTTTGTACTGAAAACATCAACACAGAGAAATCATCAGAATTCAGGAAAAGTAGTTCTAGTGGGATTTAAGTTTACTGGCACATTTGCCAGGTCTTCTGCCTTTCAAATAATAAAGTTTACAGTGGAGACATAATTCTCAAATGATCAGTACAAAAAATAAGAACAAGAAAAGCTTTGCTCCTGCTTCAATTTTGTGATAACAACTTTTTCTTTTAAATACAGCAGTTTTATTGAATTATTTCTACTATTTACACAACTTGTGAAAAGATTGCAAAGCGTTTTGCACAGGAGGAATGTATCATTGATTACTACACAGTAAAGAAATCCAGTAATTATACAACTCAGCTCCTCCAGGAACAGCATGAGGTTTCTTCTTGCAATTTTAAAGCACTTCGTGTTACCAATAAGGAAAGTTAAGTGTCAACTCTCACGTTGAGTTTCTACTTCTGAATTATATCCAGGCATCTAACTTGACCTCTGAATAAGAGCATTCAGGGTGAAGTGAAAAGCATTACAAGAATAATTCTGGGAACAATGATTCTAAAACTAGAGTTTTGGTACATCTACAAATTCACTTAGATCTGTTTGCATAGAAATCTACCCTGGCCCAGGAAAGTAAATCTTGGCACCCAAAGAGATCCCACTTTGTAAGAAAAGCTTACTAACACCACAGAGAAATATTTATTCCGATTTTTTCAAGTAATTTAACTTCAAAACCTGAAGGGAAAATCATCATGGATTAAACACGTATGAAAAACAATTTCCAAGCCTGACATGACTGAGAGGTAGCATCTTGGATTGCATGCAGCTGTACACGCATCTGTGCATGCTTATATCTGGTAAAATCAAATAAAATAAACATCCAGAAGAAAAAAACCTTGTTAGAAAAATAATTTAATAGTGCAGAATAATATCTGTATTGCATGAAGGAATAGCCAAAGTATTTTCTATAGCTGTTGATTAACAATGTACTTTGATTCAAGAGAAGAGAATTTTTTAGTACCTCATCCAATGCAATATTTAATTCATATCTTAGAAAAGATCCTACAACCATGAACAGTGGGTTAGGGGCATTTGGCATCTTTTTCTATATCCAAAAAAAAGACAACAGATTTAACACCTAATGAGTCAGGTTACTTTGACTTTCAAAGGTACAAACACATAGCAGAACTCAAAATAATTTCACCTCAATTCAGCACTGTCTGTGTTGCCCATGCCTAATCAACTTGTACAATCACATTGGCTGGACTGTCATCATTTATACAGATTACTCCTTTGATTTAACGAGCAATTCTTACCTTGCTTTGATAGAGAAGGAAATGCAAGCACTAAGGGATAAAGGTTATTTTCTCTGTCATAAAAGACAACTGTGGAAAGATAGGGAAGAGAGTAGAACCCTCCTGTTGCCATTGCAAGACAATTGGTCTATGTGATTAGCTGTTTCCCACAAACATATTATAACTATTCTGCCAGACATTCACAGACAGCAGAAATAAAACAAAGTGAGAAATATGGTTTACATTGCACTGATGTTTGCCATCTCTGTATCATCTGTAAAAGAGATAAATGAGTTTTAGATATTTTGAATTGAACAGTGTGCGGGGGCATATGCGGCCCCAAGTCCGGCTAGCTAGAGGGGAAACGGCCGACGCCTCCGCTGCATCTGAGATCAGCCCCCCTTGGCGTTGTGGCCTCGGGCTGGGCTGAATCGCGGACTGGATTATGCACGCTGGACAAGACGAGGAAAGGGAGCGACCACTCGCTGGGGGTTAATGTCGGTTTATTGAAGGATGGCAGGTACCAACGGAGGGAGGGCACCGACCAGCAAAATGGCCACAAACACGGGGGGGGGGGGGGGGGGGGGGGGGGGAAGACAGAGTTTTACAGGGAAGGGATGGAGATGGGAGGGGAAGCCCAGCTAACCAATAGGGGAACATGTGGGGAGGTACATAAGAAAACTGACACAAGAACTTATCCAATAAACATAGAACAAAGGAGGGGCCCCGGGACACCAGCCAACCACAACCCCCAGAGAAAAGAATGTTCTAGAAGGTAGGGAGGAGTGGGGGGGTGATTGACTGGGCTCAGGGAGGAGGAAAACTTTACTTATATGGTGGGATAAGGGAGGAGCAGTTATGTAACTTGGGAGATTGACAATTAACAGGGGCAGGGGTAACATAACTGCCAAAGGCTCTGTGGCGGGAAAACTGGAGGGGGAAGAACCATCTTACAACGAACAGGGGGGGAATAATACATAAAATGGGGGAGCAAAAACAAGAAACTTAAAAACACACTACAACAGAACAGTATCTATTTTAGCAAGTCATCATTGTTCTGCCATTCATAAAGGAAGGAACATATTCCTTAGTCCAGGCTTCTCCTTGTGAATGAGTCCTGAAAATTTTAATTTGCTTTTTCAGCTGCTAACATACCACGATGGACAGAGGACATCCTGCAGGACTGTGCTACTTTCCAAGCTAACCCACTCCAGCACAGCTCAGCTTAACCCAGGACAATCACTTAGGACATTTTCCAGTACACTGTTCAAACCTCTAGCTGCCATTAGCTCTAGGTTAAAGCAAATGTCATCTACCTCTGGGGCTCATAGTGAAAAATTTACATAGTCCTGGACATGATACAGGTTTTGCAGTTTTACAGCTGAAATCCTTCAGGTTCCTTGGACCTACTGGAAAATGATTTATTTTATTGCAACTCCCAAATGTTCATTTTTGTATGTTTGTTTTCCCACAGAATGTTTGCGTTGCTTCCAGCAATGTGTTTTATATTACCTGGAAGAATAGAAATGCTCTAACGGGAAGAAACAATTTTCCTCTTATTGCCAGTGCAACTAAAAGCGGGACTTCAAAATGATGCCATGACTTCTCAAGCAAAGTTATCCCTTTATTTTAGAGCTTTTCACTTTCTTTCAGTCTTCTGTGCAATTACACTAGTATACACCCAACAAGCCATGGGCCAAAGATGTATTTTCTACTTATCACAGACAAAGATAACTGCATGTCATTGATTTATAAGTACCTCAGTAGTGCATATAGAAAGTAATCTGTCTTTTCTTGAAATGAGTTCATCTTTTCTTTTTAGGGCATATATTGGATATGCCTTTCCTGACATAAATGCAGTCTCTCTCTCCCTAGGAGTTTCCTGTGAGGCTTTCATTAGACATACAACCATAAAGAATTACATGTAGAGTTCAAGCGATAGCCCTTATTAGGCTTTGTGATAAACATCTATGGGAAAATTAAGATCTAGAAAAATCTCTTTCATCTTTCTAGCACTTCTTGTCTTACCTTATGTTGTTCTAAGATGTCAATGACCAATGACCAATGACCCTCACCTTGATAGTAAAGTCTGCAGTGAGAGGCCCAGATATTCTTAAGATCTCCTTGTCAGAAAACTTCTGGAAATCAATGCTAGAATTTTCTACAAGGAAGGAGCCAGTGGTGCTGAGGCTGTTTTCACTCTTCACACCTTGGAGAGTCTTAGTTTCCAAATCTGACAAACAGAAAAAAAATGTCAGGAAACCAGAGCATTGCAATTTGAAGTGAGAGCAGAAAAAAAAACAAAAAAAAGAACCCCAAACAACAGCAAAAATTAGTAATACTGCAACTCTTTTCCCATAGTTATTCACATTTGCACACTTTCCTTTTCCTTTTTCTCTTCCATCTGCTTTTTGTCTTTGTTCAAACCTTTAACTTTTAGCTCACATTCCCCTTCTCACCCATAGGTCATGTTTTTACTCTCTTCCAGACATACTAATCCATTCCTTGTTAGGCATGTTTGCCGTTGTTTAACTCACCCTCAGTAAGTCACGCTCCTATGTGGAGCGTGACTCAGACCTTGGCCCAGAGCACTGCTAAGTTGCTGTACCCTCTTGCAGTTCAAAGGTGGGTCACTAACCACATGTTGTTGTGGTAGACGTTTAACTGAAAGCAGGATATCCAGGAAAGAAAGATCAGTATGACAGCAATCCCATTTCCTCTCCAAAAGCAGTCTGACCTATCCCAGAGGAGTAGAAGGGGAATGTGGGTGCTGAACCCTCCTGAGTTCTCCCTCTATCTCTCTCTGTATTCACAGTTCCCCAAAAGGGCATTAATTCAGTTACTGTTTTGTAGTAGCTACTTCTGATTGTCATATTAAAAGTAATGATAATTCTTTAAATAGAAGTCAACAGTCAGAAACTAGGTCTGCTTCATCATTCACCAACTCCAGATTATGCTTTACAGCACATTCACCGATAAAACGTTTCTGGTAGTTATTTAAAAACAACAGGGTCTTTCACTGCGAAAGATTGTAAAGCTGCAAACCTTTCACATATATTTATGAACACACGCAGAAAAACTCTATCACAGTGAGGCAGTTAAGGCATGCTATTAATCTATGATGGAGATATATTTTCAAAGACAAATTAAAGAAAAAAAGTTTTTATTTGCATGTATTGAGTTTCTAATTAGGGAACCAAAAATGCATTTGCAGTAATTTCACTGCTTTTCATTATGGATTAAGGGAACTAATTAAGGAAGGAAGTTGCCGAGGCAGTACACTAAGAATTTTCACTGTAATGATGAATTCCTTGGTTTTCAGTGATACCAGTCTCCTCCTTTGTGATGCACTTGGCCATCTATTTGTTTTTGGCAAGGCTGCATGCATCAGGAATAGAGATGGTTTTAAGACTTGTGTATATATAATCAGCCTCCTGTTGACTTCTCCCACAACCGAAGTTCACAGGGGAAAATACTCCCTCCCCCTGAAACTGACTGTAGCTCATACATATATAAAATCCTTTGATGAGTGAACAGAAAGATTCAAGGAGACATCTGAAACAAGAAAGAGATATATTTGGACATATTCATGTTTACACAGTGCAGTTAATCTAAATCTCAACCAGTGACTGAGGCAGACCTTGCTGATTCAAATCTTTTTGTAATGAAATATGATACGGCCTGAGTGAAGCTTTAGATCCATCTCTCCAGAAAATCTCATTTCTCTCTGAGCTGTCTTATAGCTCAATTTCACTGAAACAATAACAAAAGGACAAAATTTTCTACCTTGGAAGAGAATATCTATATTAGAAAAGAAGACAAGAGAGAAAGGAAGAGTACATGTCATGTACTGGGAAAATAATATCAGCCATACTGGGGCAGCTCAGGAATACACAAAGGGCCCCTTAAAGTTGAGTTACAGGCAGCATTTGAACTTTTAACAAAAACTTAATACATTTTTTGCTTGGTCTATAACCTGTAATTTGCTGGTCTTTATGCACAGCTTTAAATCTGTAGAACTCAGTGTTTTCTCAACACAAGGAGGGAGCCATAGTACAGCCCCAGTAAGCCATCACTTGTTTTGATATCGTGTATAAAATTGTGAGGTGAAAGAAAATATGAAGGCAGTGAAATGATTTGGTGTTTCACATCTTTGCTGACACTCATATTTGTACCTACACTGACAAACACAGAAGACGTAAATAGTCTGTACGGCAGAAAATTCCTAAAGACTTTTGGAAAAGGGAAAGGGTAGCCTGACTTATCTTGCAACAATTTGTGCTACTGAGAGGTCAAGCAGTACAGACTGGGTTTTTATTCTGACAGTAAATCATATTTACTAATACTCTAATATTAATTTCCTGCTGATAAGAAAGGAAGGAGCCTTGTGAGCAGCTACCGCACTGGAAGATGAGAGAGAGGGGTGCCAGGAGCTTCTATTCATTAAACAAATGGATTTGCCTTCAGCTCTAGCAGAGTATTCTCAAATCCTGAGACTCCTTCCAAGAAAGAGGGATATACAGCTGCTGGGATACACAGATGAAGCAGGAAAGTGTTATAGCCAAATGATGGGCTAGCAGAACTCAGTGGTCTTTACTCCTTGGAGCAATACCACTGCTAAAGAACAAGGTTATATTTTTGTATGCGGTTTCAGATCTTTAGAGCGAGATTTTGTGTGTGTGCACACACATGGTGTGAATGCATTTGTGTATCTAGGGGAGAGAGAAAGATCATAACAGAAATGTGTTAATGTCATGAGCAGCTTGGTGGCTGAGCTGAGCTGCAGGGAAACTCATACTTTACTGTTCTCAGTATTTCTTCACTCAGTGGTATGTACTTTATTAATTTTAAACAAAAGCACTTGACACCAAGTGAGCCAGCCAAAGGATAAGCAAACAGAAATGACCGAAAAATTATGGAAGGCCGAAGAACTCTGCACTGTTGGCCAAGGTCTGCTTTGAAAAGAGTGTACCACTGAGATAACTGGGTCTGAGGAAAACTTCTGAGAGCAGGACTCATCTGTGTGTTGAAATCAGTAATCTGAAAGAGGGAAACCAGACACCACAGTGTAAACAGAGCACTGCAGGTTACCAAGGCTCTCTTAAACAAGGGTACACCAACTCCTTCTACTTACATAAATGATCAGGTCCTTTCAGCACGAGGCGAATTTGTCTACTTCCATAGGGAATAGCAACCACTGTATCGTCCACTGTGGGAATGCAAAAACACATGGAGTAAATAAGCAAGGAAATTCCCATCTGTTTTAAAATAAGCATTGAAATAGGTGTTTACAAGTCAGTCAAAAGAAAAACCTTAGGACCAATTAAAAATGCCAAGACTTATTACTAAAAATCTGGAAAAGGAACTTGTTAAATGTAGTAAGAACCTTCTGCTTAGAAGAATCCAAACCTGTTCATTTTATTTATTCCCAACTCCTTCACAACTATTTATGGTTTTCATAAGTAACTAATAAGTTTCTATTTCATCACAAATCCACTTAAAACTCTCAAGTATTTTGAATCAGTGTTTGTGGTAAAGTAGAGGAACATAAGCTTATTCTGATATTTAACCAGAATAGCTTTCCCATTTCTCACTTTACCTTTTCCCACTTAAACCCCACAGCTTCTCCATGATCCCGTCCATGATATGTGATGGTCTCCTACTGTTCTCAGGTACCCCTTTCACACCTCTTATTTTAATGACCATAAAGGCTATAATTCTGCTTCCCTTTCTACACTGCAAGCAGAAAGCCCCTCGAAAAGCAGAAGCCCTGTCATGTAAATAGGCCTTAAAGAAGAATCTTGCACCTCCGAATCCCTTGGGAACTTTGCCAACTGCATTTAAATTGAGGTGTAAATTAACATAAAGATCACATGCAGCTGTGAAAGTTAGTTAGGTCAGCATTTCTAAAGAGGCAGTAACCCCAGTAATGTCCTGAAGGGAGACACAAAGACACAGAAAGATGACACAAAATGTTGTATTTGGATTATGAAGTGGTCTGCCCAGAGAATGTTGACCTGGACTAACCAGCACATTTCATTCACCTTTCCCTGTCCTTTCTGCCTTCTTCCCATGTAACTGGAAGTTGGGAAGGAAAAGGTATGCATGCTGAAAAGGATTTTTCTGGGGAGTGAGAAGGTGGTAGATGTGAAAGGAAAAACTCTCTTTCACTATTTCTTCATTAGAACTGCTCACATCTATGTTATGAAATGCCTTCTAGCAGGACCTACCGATCTGCTCTCCAAACAGTGTTTTTTAGGTGAGGTCAACTCAGCCAATAAAAAAGTTTTATCTTTCATTCAAATACATGAGTTGGGGTCTTATACTTCTGCCCAGACCAAACTGGGAAAACTCTTGGAACCCAGTTAAATCAGGATTGTCACTTAAAAGCAAAATAGTTGTTGATGATGTCATTTTATATCAAAAGTAGAGAGCCAACAGAGAGGGGAAACACTACCAGAAACAGGAACTTTTAAGCAATACATTCATTCATCCAAACCCATAATATCTCAAAACCTGTGAACTAGAACCCTTTTAAATTTTAAATTCTGAAACGCAGCATAGGAATTCTTGACACTCATATTTCAAAGCTTTATGAGATGAAATACTCATACTTTGTTGCCTCTTACCACCCCAGAAGTGAGACAGAAAAGTAAGCAGTCTCTTTAAGTGCCGCAAAAGTTGTGTGGACATTAAGACCATTCAAATTTTCAGGTGCTTCTGAACCATGTCCCATTTTCAAGTTCTGATTTGATACATTTTCTCAAACTATCCATAATTTCAGTGTCTAAGTCTTTTGTAACTCGGCTTAAACTCAACACGTTTTGCTCATTCATATCTCTGATACACCACTGATTAATAAAGCTAGGAATCTTTCATATCAATACATAACTCAAATTTTCTATTTGGAAAGACAAAGATTCAACTTCTAAAAAAATAAATATTTATATTCTAATATTGCTTTATTGGTACCATTCTAGCATTCAGATTCAAGATACCCAGTAGGATAAATTATTTTATCCATTTTGGGGAACAACATACGTGAGTATGACACATCATTTTGCTGTGCATATATAGGATTTTTTGGACTGAGTTTGGAAAAAGAGTAACTTCAATTTAAAAACCCCTAATATGAATGGCCTTTATGAAAGCCTTATTTAAAGACAGTCCTATACCAGTATTATATCTGACTGCCTCAGTTAAACACTCTGTGCTGCAGATTTACAACTCACTGACATGTCACAGAAAACCTGGACAGTTTAAAGCCCATGTGAGCTTACATTCTCAGCCTGCACCTCCTGCCCCAGGTTATTGCTAGGACTATATTTCACCTGATCTTGAAGTTGCTGTCCATTTGAAATCCTAGCACGCTTTTTGTGAAATGCAAAGCTCAGTGGGATTTATGCTTATCACAGTTCTTCCTGCTTTCACAAAGCAGAAGCAGTGGGGATTGAAGGATAATTTCCTGAGGTTAACAGTGATAAGGAGGAGACATTTCCTGTGAGGAGATGTGAAACTAAACAGGCTAACATTTAGTCACAGCTCTTCCCAACAATAAGCAGAGAGACACGTTGTTGAGCAGCTGTGTGGAAAAGACACAAAATGCTTTAACAGGTGGTTGGTTTTCTCTGGAGACTGTGCATAGGGAAGCAAAGGAAGGTCCTAGATAACTGAGAGGACAGTGGCTCAGGGCTGAGAAGAAAGTTCAAGGTTTTAGGCAATAGTTAAATATCATGTACATAACTCAGATTCCCATAAGAAACAAGCTTCTTCTAGTTTTGGATTTTTAATTTGGATTTTGGACAAATGGTTTGTCAGTTCTCACGATGAAAAATGGAGTTTTTTCTATCTCCCAATTACTACTGATATTCAGTGGAAATCTGGAACCACATATATTTTTGACAGCCATAACAAGAGTAATTAGGTGAATATCTAGACAGCATTATAATTTCTACAAGTTGCTTATAAACTGCTCTACTTTGCTAGTAGATGTCAATCTTGTTTTAGAGAAATACCAACTTTGCACTAGGTGATCAGCAGAATGCATTCACAACTTATGGGGCTAACTCTCTAGCTTCTTGGTGAATACAGAGAAGCCTGCTTAAACACATCATCTCTTCACAGGAAGGACATACAGAGTTCCCTAAAGAAGATACTAAATAAAAAAGGGAAAGATGTATTTTCTGCAGACTTCTAAAGAACCACCCAAGCCACCTAAGAATAAAGAACATTTCTGAAATGAATGAAGGTTTTTGTAGTTTTATTATTATTGGTCTTACAAAAGCATAGACACATGTGCTTTCTTTTTCTTAAAAATGTAGGTTAGAATTCAGCATCACACTACATCCTGCCCGACTATGTTTCTGTCTCTGAAACCACTGGGACTTGTGTACTACCCCTATAAATAGTGGAGAAGCTGTTTCTGTAGGAAATGCTAAGTGTTTAAAAGCTCTATGAATTTCTTACTCTTAGCCTTTACATGATATAAACAACAGGAAAAAGGGAACCAGATGTGAGCACCAAGAGAAAATTACTTTAGCGTGATGAGCTCAAGACTGTGTTTGGAATGGTTTTGAGATATAAACAGCTTCAGAAACTATTGGGACAGCTCTGGAGTAAAGGTCAACTGTCCAACCCCTAGAACAGTTCTCAAGATTGAATACTATTCTTAGAGAAACAGAACTCCCAAGTGAGGCCAAATTTCTAGTCACTGCTGATATCTAGTCACTGATGTATATTTACTCTCTGATTTTTCTAATGCTTTTTCTAATGCAGTCTGTCTTTTAATCCCTTGTTTAAACCACAGATAAAACAGACATAATTCTAGAAAAGTAGGATCATTTTATAAAGATAACTTGAAATTTAGCTATCAACTAGTGAATTCAGTCATTTAAATGACTGAATAAATAAAATTAATAAGGCCCTGATCGCAGATTTGCCTGTGTCTTTATGTTTATAGTGACAAATAAGCAAGATCCTGACACAGATGAAGTGCCAAGAGAGCTGGGGAAGATAAATGCAGAAAATGAACACAATAGATTTTTGAAACAATTTCAACATTTAAAATCTCGAATTTCCACAACATTTACATAAATAATTTTGAAGTCAACCACACAAAAAAAAATTTCATATTAATTCACACATGTGAAGGGGACTTATAACTGGTTAAGATTTTTAAAAACCCAATTTAAAAAAAGACTTACTATTCATAGATTCAAAGTTCACAGTATTGCATAAAAACGTGTATGTTTACAGCAGGGAAGGAAATAATGCCACATTATACAGACTGCCAGAAAAATCTACCATTTTCCTAGCTCTGCATAACAATTATATACAGGCAAATGTGTCTGAGAAATCCATTCTCTAACTTTTTTTCACATTTATCTGAGTCTAAGATTGTGCTCTCTGTCATCCACTCTATTACCTATATAACATTCTTTACATTTAATAGGAAACCACTGGAAATTGGTTACTGTGTTTTACTAACATTTATTCCTGTGCATAATATATTAGTGACTTTATCCTCAGTAGAGAAGAGATGAGCACCTTTTTACAAAGCAACTAGAAAAAAAAATTAATTGCTCCTACAGGAAAAGACATTTGCCAAAAACAAGTCACAAACACTATTACTCAAATTTCCAAATCTGTTCCTGCTCATTGTGAAATAACTTAACAACGAGGTGAAATTCCATTCCTAAATCTTTGTGAATTATTTCCTTTGTCCTCTAAAGTACAATTCTGCTTCAGAATCCTCTTATGAGGATTATTCCTTTCTTTCCTTCACACAAAATAGTTTCCCTTCCCTTCCCTTCCCTTCCCTTCCCTGAACTTCCCTTCCCTGAACTTCCCTTCCCTGAACTTCCCTTCCCTGAACTTCCCTGAACTTCCCTTCCCTGAACTTCCCTTCCCTTCCCTGAACTTCCCTTCCCTGAACTTCCCTTCCCTGAACTTCCCTTCCCTTCCCTCAGCAAACACAGAGCCATGCCTGCACTGTGCTATCAGCTGCTCTGGGTGCCATAGCTCCATATATGCTATATATGCTCCACACCAATGCAGTTACTCTTTGACAAAGAGAAGCTTTTGTAAAAAGCAGCTTTCCCTGTTGCAAAACCCACAAGTATACATACACCGTCATCAACAGATATTACACTGCTATCTGAATCCTTAAAGTCATATGCTATTCAGCAATTGCAAAGCTGCTCCAGAATGGTTGGACTGGTATGATTAAACTCTAAGGCTGGAGGCAGGTTTTCAGGCTAGCACATGTGATTCCTTAGGTGTGTCTACATAGACATGAAAATACACATACTTTTTAATCCTTCCTTCAAACTGACAGAACACACCCTATCTCCCATCCCAAAAGTTTTATAGCTCTATCTGTGGTGCTATAAACAGACTGAAAAAAGTCTGTCTGGGGTTCAGAATAAACTAATCCCCTCACTGAGGGACACTAATGCTACTTTACCACTCTCAGGTAAGCTGGGTCAGCATGGAGGAAAGGCCATGTTTTTCTGTAGACATCTCTCTCAAGCCTGTGTCGGCACTTTCTGACAACTCTGGTTCCTCAGTTCCCTGGAGAACTGGGCACCATGCAGAGCATGCAGTCACACGTGATGCTAAGAGGCCTTGGAGACAGCACTCTGCCAGGCTGGCAGCACCAGCCCCTCAGGGTTTCCCTCTGCTGTAGAGCAGCAAAAACCATTCTATCCAGAGCAGGGTGCACTAAGTCCTGTGCACAGCCAGCCAATACAGCCACCTCCTCCTGCTCTCCTGCTCTTCACATGCAACTAGCTAGGTGAGATGGGCAGTATGCTGATGGACACCTTTCCACAAGCCTCTGTCCACCCTCACAACCTGACCAGCAGTCTGAGCAAGGCTGCTTTAACCAAAGAGGCAAGCACCCGTGGGGACAACTAGACTGAACATGATTATTCAGGTACCCACGGAAGAGTGGGGTGAAATCTAGCCTGCAGAAAATGAAAACTTCTCTAAAAAGGGGAAGGTGGCACTCTACCAGAAGGAACAGCTTACGTTTACTTGCAGAGAGCTGGGACTTATACTGGCCTCGAACCAGCCGGCAGGTGGACCCATCTCCATTGCAGACCCCACAGTTATCTTCCTTGACAGCACTTCCCAGCTGGTGGTCACAGCCAACAATCTGGCAAGAAAGAAAGATGTGCAGTTCAACGTGAGCACTTACCGACTGACTGCTCAATCCATCTCTGCAACTAATTACTCTAAATTTCTCTCTTAACATCTCTAGAGGGCCATAAAGTACCTTAGCAATCAAAGAGGCTGAGCAAATCTGGCTGGCAATGTGCACTGAAGTCAGGTGAGAGATAGGGAACAGGTTAGTTAGTACTCAATGGCTTTTGCAGCTCAGAGAAAGAAAAGAGTATTGTTGGAGGTTGTTATTTTAGGGCATTGTGGACATTTCTTGGTCAGAGTCCTGTCAGAAATTTCTCTTCTTAGAGTTTCACAAAGAAAAATGCCTGAAACAGATAAAAAGACAGATAGGAAGCAGACTGATAGATAAAAGTGAAGTGCAACATGGATCAATAGCAACACGGCTCTGAAATTTTACCTGCTATGCAGCTGGGAAAGCCATGTGGTTTTAATTATATTTGACAATAATCCCATTCCACACTGTCAGTGCCTGTGTTCAGACATTGCAAAAGATCTGATAAAGAAGGCTGGAATGGTTGCAACAAAAGAATTGAGAGTCATTGCATGAATGTAATTACCTGCTCTTAAACTGGGTTTTTCCTACATGCAAATTGTTTAGTTAAAAATTTTGAGAGTTGAACAGATAAACTGGGTTTCTCAGTTTGCAAAAACCTTGTTATTCTAAGAAGAATCAAATAGTAATTTATAATTAAGTACATTTAAAATTAATTGATGGACTATCTGTTTAACACATTGTTAATGTAGGCCTTTTGTTTGAACTTTTAAGTTTTACTTACAACTTATGAATTTTTTACATAAATAATAGAAATCTAAGAAATTAAGAAAGTCCTTGCAATGTTATAATTACCTTTGTAAGCACTAGAAAATTAAAGGCCTTCTAGCATTCTGGCATTCAGAGTAAGTAATGAACAAATAATTGTCTATAACTACTAATGAGGTTATGCTAAGGCTCTTAGGCAAACAGAATGTATATATAAACACAAAGAATTCTAAAGAAAGTGGTTTTTAGCTTTAATTTTTCCTGCATTTCTGAGTTTTAGAAAAATCTGAGAACCAGAAAATGATGAGAGCAAATAGGGCACTTATCATCAAGACTCATAAAAGCTGTATGTGTAACTTGCGCATTAAAACATTCATAGACTAATATTTCTTATTTGTGCAATGCTGAGTGTGCAGAATTACACATCTTTGCTAGGGTGAGGTAAACTTCGGGGTTTGACACTTGCTCTTCATTTGTCTATGAAAATGCAATCTTTAAAAACCAGTATTTTCCTTTAGCAATTCAATTCCCATTTCTAACATCATTATTTTACTAGCTGCAGAATAGCTGTTTCCTTGATTATGTCATATTGACAATATAATTAATTTAATTTAAATCATTATAGATTCAAGCTTGATGAAAGCTATCATTAAATTTGATTTTACCTACTTCTTCCAGGTCAGAACTGGGTCAAGCCTCCTATGCTTACACATTATATTATGATCCCTCTAAGGGAATTAATGAAGCCTAAAGAAGCAACAGTCACCTTGAAAAGCTAGCCATACCAAGACTGCAAGAGACATTTTAACAAATTAGAAACATCATGACAAATAATGGTTAGAAAACAGAAGCAAAGATAAGCCTATCTTCACTGTGATTGCTCCATACAAAACTTCCAAATACAGATATACAAATTGTATCCATAGTACTGTGTAAGATTTCCATCTATTTTTTTTCTAGAATTTTCCTACAGGAGCTTAACTATCTTTGATATATGCAGACTGGTATGCTTTAACTTCCATGATTGCCACGGCGTAGAAAAGAGGGTAAAAAGGATCATTTGCATGATCTGAAAACTGTATGCCACTGCCTACAAACCAGATTCTCCTTCTAGAGCATTAGAGATCGCTAGTACCCTCAGCAAAAAGGGTCCTGTTGGGGAGCCAAGATAACAGAAGAAAGGTCAGAATTCCCTTTCATATCTGCTGAAAAGCGCAGTTTAGAGTGGTACACATATCTTTATGCCTTTGCCTATTTTGAAAAGAATATGCGAACTGTTTGGATAGGAAATTGGCAGGATTTTAAATCCAGGTATGAGGTAACCAATTAACAAAACCCCAGCATTTACTACTTTAAAGCATTTTTAACTTTATGAATCATCAGCTCACATGTTGCCATAGGCTATACCCGATTAAAGTTAATTTATAAACTGAGCAATCTGGAGCTAGGTCACAACTTGTGGAGGAAACCACCAGGAAAATCTCAGGTGCCAAAGGAAGTTAAATTATGGTTTGTTTCTTTTTTTGAGTTGGACAGCCATTACCAGTGTACAGCATAAAAATATTTCTTCTGTTAAAATGCTGTGTTTCAAATGGAAGTATGAGCAAAGTGAAGTATGGAGAATTTGTGATTTCTAAAATTTCTGTGGTATGTACAAAATGTATATTAACCTTACTGTATTTGGCTATGTCTCAGATAACTTTATGCAATTAAAAGTTTTGATGAAATTAAATGAATTTCCTATTTGTTCCCAAGGTCTCTGCAGAGATTTTTTCTTTACTGTGTTAGATTATCTGTCTAAATAGATATGCAGACCTCTGGGAATATGGAATATTTTAATTAAAAAAAATTATGAGTGATTAACCAATGCCTGAAATAAAAAATATCCCCAAATTTATTCTTTTTTCCTTCTCCTTCTCCTTCTCCTTCCCTCTTCCTCTTCCCATTACTTAGGGGAATTTTTCCATCTTTTGAAGGTAATTACATGCACTAGAAAGACTGCTAGTATTTGAAATGGAGTCACTGATGCTTTAATATGAAAAACACTACTCCAGATCTCTTACATGAGGTTTTAGTAGCTCTTACATGAAAACATTTTGCAGGCTGGACTTTTGTGACAGCAAAAGATCAGACAAGGAAATATTAAAGTGCTCCTAAAAAAAATACACAGCTCATGAGAGCAATATCTTTTGCCTCTGAGTGGAAGAAACAGAAATTTGGCTGAGTTAAGAACATGTCATTTCCACAGCATTATTTTCACTGTCTATCAAGGCTGCAGAGAACTCATTGAAAAAGGTTATGGAATGGGTGAAAATATGTCACCACTCACCAAAAATCTGCAATGGGTTAACAAGGGTTTCTTCTTTCAGCATCCACCCATAGCATGAACAAAACAAAGAGGGATGGTTTTAAAATGGCTGTAATCAGAGACGTTGAAGATGCAAGACACTAGGAGAGGCCAGCTACCAAGAAAAGTAGACTGACTCGGTCTGCAGAACTAGAAAAGTCGCCAAGACGCTGACCTGTGGGCACATTCACCTGACAAGAGGTGGTTGAGGACCTCATCATGGAAGTAAGCACCATGGAAGGCACTGCTTCATCAGCATGGTAAGCCAAGGAACTCCCATATACAGCTCAGAGTAATGGTTTGGGGGTCATTTGTGAATCAGAAGTCTAGTGAGTATTTCACTCTGAAAAGCTTTGAAACGTCAACTCCTTGGTTTGAAGCTGGATCTAATGATGAAATAATGAAGTTTCTGTGGAATAGAAACTTCCCTTTCCAATGCATTCTAGTTTTGATCTCAGTATATCCTGGGAGATTTAGGGAGATGAAGTCTTTTTCAATCTATAAAGGTCTGGAAAGGAAGACCCCACTAGAAAGGAAAATGGATTACTACAACAAATTGTGCTTGGAAATGTTCTGAAGTAAGCAGTTTTCATACTCATTTCTATTACCTGTTAAGCTTCCTCCCCTTAAAGCGGGGTAATGAAGTACAGACTTTCCACACTGAAATCTTTTGCGTTTCAAGTTGCTGAAGTGCGGTCAGAGGCTTGAACCGCACATTGTTACTGCACAAAATGTTAGAAGCAGCTCCATTAAGTTCCCTGACTATCTAATCCAAACTCCATTAAAATCAAGAACATGTACTTATAAGTTTGATAAATTTTGGATGAAGCTCTTATGTGTTTCTAAAGGTGCTCCTATGAAACTCATTACTGTTGTAATTAAATGCCCTTAAAGCAGTAAAGGCAGATTTTGCAGAGCTCTGGATCTCTCTCAGTATATGGAAAATGTCAGCCATGTAGTACCAGAGTGAGGAAATCACAGGTGAGTACCAACTGCCTGCCCAGACCTTCTTCATCACCTCTAAAGTGAGCTGACTTTTTATTCTCCTTATGGGTTTAGCATAGAAAGTCTAGCAACAAAAAGCCAGAATAATAACAGCTAATCCCTAGTTGGCCAAGCCTGTATTGTTTTCTGGCATAAGGTACCACAGCTCTGCTCAGAGGTAAAGATTACACATTATATTTTAGGCTGAAGTCCCAGACTTCGTGCTGAGTTTGACTCTCCCCCCGTCTTCCCCCCAAACCTCCCCCCTTACTCCACTTGACAGCTCACAGGCTGACAAAACAAAAATAGGGATATTCCTGACTCTGAGACACACAGCGAAATAATTTTTACAGGATGCTGCAAGAAAAGAGATGGCTATCAACTTAGCAGATCAACTGCTTGCATGTCATTTAAAGGCATCAGGCTAAAAGTCCAACAACAGGAGTTGGAACTAACCACTGAGTGCGTGCATGAGTGTTATAAGTGCATGTGTTCCCCTTGTGGACTTGAACTCTGGCTCAGTTTAGCAGATTTTTCCAGAAATAAAACTGGACCAGCAATGACAGGTTCTGCTCCAGCCCTGCTAGTCTGGAAATGCCCTGAAGTAAGAAGTTTTCATAATAATTTCTATTCAGTATTAAGAAATCCTCGGCAGGAAATAATGTAATAAAGCAAGCTTGCAAATCCAGGCAATTATAAATAAATCTCTCTGTTTTTCAAGGGGCATGTCTGCAGTTCAAACGCAAGAAGTTCTGAGAATCTGAGAAAAACAAAGTTGCCCTTCACATAGATACTAATGTGGGGCTCAATGTGGGACTTGTGTGGATTGTTACTGCTCAGTTGAAAAAGGTTTTGGATCAGAGCCATCATTTCAACTGGG